GTATAAAGAAAAATGTTTTCTTACTCTTTCCTTATGTTTCCCGCTTGTATGTTTTCCTACCTAGCCCTCTAGATAAGAAATAATGGCAATATACATGGAAATATAATATGTTGAAGTACTGATTATGTTGCCATATTTTAATTTGTTATGATATTCTTTGCTATGATGCTCTTTCATGTTTTATATTCTTATATAATGCAATGCCCTTAAAATGTGTCTCACAAATGGTGTTTTATGCTTCTCGCCTTTCCCTTCATCTCTTTTCATTTTGTATCCCCTTAAAGCCAGTTTGGTGTAGTGGTTAAGTGCGCAGACTCTAATCTGGGAGAACAGGGCTTGATTCCGCACTCCTCCACTTGCACTTGCTGGTGTGACGTGATATTGTTAATGCCCCTACAGAGATCTATAGTGCAACCCAGGGGTCATTTCATAGAAAAAGAGGTGCAGGAGCTCATTAGCATAACTCATTAGCATAACTTATTTGCATATCCCACACACTCCTGACATCACTGGACGTGTGTCAGAAAGCTACACCCACTGCTCAGGCTACACTGGACTGTTTTGGATCGCTAGCTATTAGGGGGGGGCCGAACATGCAGATCTGTCCTTGCAGAGGAGGGAGAGCTTGTACCTGAATAAAACTTGGTCTTAAAGGTGCCACTGGAGTGTTTTGGGCCAGGGGACCGGGGTGGGGGGCTCTGCAACTTACCTGGCTGCTTCTTGCTTCTCTTCTGAGGGCTGCTGGGAGCAGGGGGTGTGGCTTGTTGCATGTGCCCGCCCCCTGGGCTCTTTACTGTCGGAGCTCCGCTCCTGTGCGCTCCTGCAGGAAATGACCCCTGGAGACCTCCAAAGGAATATCAGGGCCAGGACACAGAGGCAGGCATAGCAAGCCACCAGTAGGGGTTGCTGGAAGTCACCATGACTTCCAGGCATGCAAGCATACGTGGGCATGCACACGCGCACACACTTAAAAAAGAAGTACCTGTGATTCTTATTTTCACAGCATTCTCAGTTTCCTGACACCATTTTTTTTTGGCCATAAAATGTATGCATCTTTTGACATTTATTTATGACTTCTATCTTGCTGTTCTCCCCAGTGGGGACCCAAAGCTGCTTACATTATTCTCCTCTGTTTTATCCACACAACCAGAGGTCATTTCGGGGGGGATCGCGGGGGAACGCAGTTCCCCCATGTGAGGTGCGGGGGGCGGGGCACATGATGAAGCCCCGCCCCCTGCTTCCAGCTGCCCCGCTTCCGGCCCTCATTCAGCCAGGAGGAGGCAGGAGAAGAGGGTGGGTAAGTTGCTTCCTCCCCTATTGGTCTGATCCAGCAGGGCTCTTCATATGTTCTGACATAATCAGACCCTCGATCCATCGCAATCAATATTGCCTATATTCAGACCGGCAGCAGCTCTCTGGGGTCTCAGGCGGAGGTCTTTCCCACCACCTCCTACCTGACCCCTTTAACTGGAGACGAACCGCGGATTCCCTGCATGCCGAGCAGAGGGTCTAACACTGACCCATGGCTCCTCCCCCTCAATAGAGAGCACTCAGTAATAGGCAGGGGTCATTTCCTGCAGGAGCACACAGGAGCAGAGCTCCGGCAGTAAAGAGCCCAGGGGGCGGGCACATGCAACAAGCCCCATCCCCTGCTCCCAGCAGCCCTCAGTCAGAGCAAGAAGCAGCCAGGTAAGTTGCAGAGCCCCTAAAACCCCCAATAGCTAGCAATCCAAAAGAGTCCAGTGGAGCCTGAGTGGTGGGTGTTGCCTTCTGACACACCTCCGATAATGTCAGGGGGTGTGGCATATGCAAATAAGTTATGCTAATGAGTTGTGCTAATGAGCTCCTGCACCTCTTTTTCTACGCAATGACCCCTGGTAATAGGCATAGTCAGCATGCACAGATTGTCCCTGTCTTGGGGAGAGGCGGTCCAGGCTGACTTGGTCTCAGATGTTAACCAGCGGATTGAGTCCATAGGGTTGCCAGCCTCCAGGTGGGGCCCGAAGATTCCGTGGAATTACAGGTGCTCTCCGGATGACAGAGATCAGTTCGCCGATGAGGAAAGCTGACTCTACGACATTATATCATACTGCGGTCCTTTCCCTCCTCCTCCAACCTCACCCACTCCACATGCCGCCCTAGGGATGCCAGCCTCCAGGTGGGACCCGAGGATCCTCTGGAATTAACAGCTCACCTCCAGACAACGGAGTGCCATTCCCCTGGAGAAAAGGGATACTTTGGAGGGTGGGCTCTACGGCATTATACCAGGCTGAGGCCCTTCCCTTCCCCTCCCCAAAACCCACCCTCCCCACATGCCACTTTAAGGATGCCAGCCTCCAGGTGGGACCTGGGGATCCCCTGAAATGACAGCTCTTGTCCAGATGACAGAGGTCAGTCCCCCTGGGAGAAAGATGGGTGCTTTGGAGGGTGGACTCTATGTGGCACTGCACCCCACTGAGGTTCCTGTTCCTCCCCAGGTTCCGCCCCCAAATCTCCAGGAGTTTCCCAACCTGGATCTGGCAACCCCACCCCCTCACTGATGGCTAGGGGGAACTTGGGAACCATGTTCCCTCTAAGCTGTGGAGTCCTGTGAGCAGACATTCTACTTTGTGAGCTACTGGCCTTAAAGTTGTGAGCAGGTAGTTTGGCTGCTGCATGAAATTAGTTTGCTTTGAAGCCATTCTTTCCTGAGCTAAGACAAAAATGTGTGAGCAGGAGGCTAAAAAACTGTGAGCTAGCTCACACCAACTCAGCTTAGAGGGAACACTGCTTGGGAACCCTACATCCCACCCCCAAAATCTCTGGGGATTTCCTCACCAGGACCCGGCTACCCCCATCCACGGTCCCAGCGCAGAGGCGGCTCATGAAGGCAGAATGCCACCTCCTAATTGACAGGCAGCTCACTCGGACACACCTTTGCAGCATTCAAGGTTGCCAATATTTGGTTAAAAAAGCAACCGTTCCAAAGTGGGGGGGGAGAGAACGTGTTTCCTGCTTGTGCTTGCCAAACAGGAGGAAGCTCTTGGTCCCCACCCAGTGAGAGGGGGTTGGGTTTATCTCAACACACCCTTTTTTGGGTCTCTATATAGGCGCTCAGGTCAAGGGTACCAGCCACCACTTGGTTCAGCCATGGCACCCTCTGGTATCAAGGTTTGTCTCATTAAGGACTCTGATGCCAAGAGAACTGCCCAAGTCTTGCCCTACCGCGGGCAGAGCTACAAGGAGCTGAAGCAGCAGTGCCTCCAAAAGAGAACCCTCTTCACTGACCCCGAATTCGAAGCCAGCAAGCAATCCTTGGGACCTCCACTGGAAGGCGAGAGTTGGCCCACTGAGGTGGTCTGGAAGAGGCCAAAGGTAGGTTAAGAAAGGCTAAGTTATTTATTATCTAAATGATGAGGGGCAGCTGGGTGTAGTGGTTAGGCTGTTGAGTGAGGGCCTGGGGTACCAAGTTTGCAGCTTTCTGGGTGACCTTGGGCCAGTCACAGACTCTCAGCCTGGCCTACCTCGCGGGGTGGTTGTGAAGATAAAATGGAGGAGAGGCGAACGAAGCAAGCCATCTTGGGGTCCCTATTGGGGAGAAAGGCGGGGGCACCTAAATGCATTTAAAATAATAATAAAAGTCTCTCATATCCGCCTTGATGGCGACGCGAATCTGTTCCCACTAAAAGGAGGCCTTCTGTCTCCGAGTGACGTTGTGTCGTTCCCAGAAACTTGGGGGTTAGATGTGGGGTGGCCCCCCCTTCAGATCCCCGAGTGGATCAACCGGCCCCTGCTTCAGTCACCGGGAGGTTCTGCATCCGGCATCTGCTCCCCATTGTCTCAACTGGGAGGGAAAAGTGCAGCTCAAAATCACACTCAGTTACCGTACTGACTGCAAAGTCCACCCTCGAATGGCCATAAATCTATGGAGAAGGTAGCATAAACCCCGATGCTCAAAGGAAGTGAAAGCGGCATGCAATGCAGAAGAGGAATTTCTGTCCCAACGTGGGTTTTGTAAAACGACAGAGGGAAAAGCCAGTGCAGAGTCAGCCACTGTCTCTCAATGGGGCCTACCTCACAGGGGTGTTTGTGAGGGTTAGGATTGCCAATTCTTTGTTGGAGATTTCAGGATGGAGGCTGGAGGGGGCATGGCTTGGCGAGGGGAGGGTACAATGCCACAGAGCCCCCCGCCCCCAAATCAGGCATTTTCCCCCTCAGGAGAACTGACCTCTGTGTTTGGAGACCGGTTGTAATTCCAGGCGAAGTATCTGGAAGTTGGCAGCGCTGGGGCAGGATACGCAGGCAAAAAATGTCAATAAAAAGTTGTTGTCAGTAAAGATGAGGCGTGTGATAAAAGTGTAGAACATGCATAATGGGAATCCAGATAGCACATAAAAGAGGAAAAGAATCTCGCTGTTACTATTTGCAGCCAAAACCACATTAGCAGCCACATGGAAATCCACGAGTAGGCTAAATGTAAACCTCTGGTACAAAAAGCTATGGAACCTTTATAGAATGGAGAAAATCTCAGATACTCTGAGACAAAATCTATCTAGAGGTGGTTAGAATGACATTGTATGTATATGGTACCCCCATACTAGTACATCTACCTACCAAAGAAACAGTACCTGATGTAATAAAAACTCTGCATCTATGGTAATTTTCAAACTGTATAACACCGACAAATTGTATGAAATGTATGAAGCCATTGAGAGCTGACTATGCTCATGCTTACCTTGTATATCTTTGCTGTTTATAAAAATGAATAAAAATTCTCTGTTAAAAAAAAAAGAGGAAAAGATCACCCACCTTCTGGGGTTTGATTCTCCGCTCCTCCACATGCAGCCGGCTGGGTGACCTTGGGCCAGTCATAGACTCATGGAGTTGGAAGGGACCTCCAGGGTCATCTAGTCCAACCCCCTGCAAAATCCAGGGAATTCACAAATACCTCCCCCTCCACACCCCCAGTGACCGCTGTTCCACGCCAAGAAGATGACAAGAAAACCTCCAGGATCCCTGGCCAATGCTGGCCTGGAGAAAAATTGCTGCCTGACCCCAAAGGGGCGATCAGCATTTCCCTGGGCGTGTCAGAAAGGGCCACAAGAACTGAGGCAACCCTTCCTGCCTTCCCTTTCATGATTTGCCTAAGTTCACAGCATCAGCACTGCTGTCCGATGGCCACCTAGCCTCTGTTTGAAAACTTCCAAAGAAGGAGAGCCCACCATCTCCCGAGGAAGGCTCTCCTTTTGCACCAAGGAACCATCCCTGAGCAGGGTGGGAGGGGGGCTCTTGGTAGTGGGTGATTCGATCCTTAGGCAGGTAGACAGCTGGGTGGCGAACCCGCGTACTGACCGTATGGTGACTTGCCTGCCTGGTGCGAAGGTAGCGGACATTACGCGTGTTTTAGATAGGCTGGTAGATAGTGCTGGGGAGGAGCCAGTGGTCGTGGTGCATGTCGGCACCAACGATGTGGGGAAATGCAGTCGTGAGGTCCTGGAGGAGAAATTTAGGCTGCTGGGCAGGAAACTTAGGTCCAGGACCTCCAAGGTAGCCTTCTCAGAAGTGTTACCTGTTCCACGCGCAGGGCCAGAGAGACAGGCAGAGATCAGGAGTCTCAATGCGTGGATGAGACGATGGTGTAGGGGGGAAGGGTTCAGGTTTGTTAGGCACTGGGATACTTTTTGGAACAAGAGGGAGCTGTACAGGCGAGACGGTCTCCACTTGTCCCGAGAAGGAACCAGGCTGCTGGCACTTAAAATCAAAAAGGTGGCAGAGCAGCTTTTAAACTGAATATTGGGGGAAAGCCGACAG